CGATAGGTTTTAGGGCAAAATAAGTGATTTTTGACCTCCTTGAGTTCTTGATTCTTAGTTCTTATCTAGTACGGAGTCACTGCACGGGACTCGCATAAAAGTAGGTGTTATTCCTATACTACATGCATCAAAAGTGACCTTTCTTAAGGTATAAAACATGCGTGGACACAAAATAAAGTAGCAATAGTTCTTTCTAGCAATAAATAACACTATAAACGAGATCAGACAAGCAACACTAGTTAAAGACGAAGAAAAAATGAATATTAAAATTGAAAACGCAAATAATAAATTTAGGGCAGCACTATTCGTTGTCATGGCAACCCTTAAACAGCTCTCAAGGTTTTTAATGATAGTGATGCAACCATTTTTATTACAATTATTTGTCCAGATGCAATGCAGGTGATAAATGGTAGTATTTTAATTTCTAGTTGTAGTTTTATTTATTGTTTTTTTAAGTTTTAATAATGGGCGAAGATGTAAGTTTTTTGTGTCGAGTAACACCTTGTGTGGTGATATTTTCGCCCTGCTTTTTTGTTTTGAAATGTATTTCTTTTACAGTTTGGTATTAATCTAATCGATTGAGTAATTTCGTTTTGGTTTGAATCTTAGAAGCTACACTACAATAAGTATTCATGAACACAGACTTATCTTCTTAAACAAATTAAAGTTCTTGAGCCTTATAATGTTTGGTGTCTATTACAATGTTGCTATCTAAAAAAATAGCGTTGACTTTCTTTTATTATTAATCGATTTCATATCATTATGCTTTATATCACAATCATTTGTGTACTGATGAGGGGGGTTCATTATATTGAAAAGAGACTTTCAAAAGAGAATCCATACTACTCGCTAGTAGCTTTTTATGAAGTCTAAAGTGTGCAGTCGGACATTTTAAAATAAGCATGCCAAAGCAATCAGCCATATGGCTAGGATTAAAGTAATCAACCGATTTCAGAACTAAACAAGTGACAATGAGTTTGAACCTAATATTAGAACAATGAAATGAATCACCCAGCTCTGTACACTAGTGTTTAGTTGGCCAAATACTAAGTAATTATAAATGTCTATAAATAGAACTAATTAATCCAGTTTTGTTACAACGAAATTGGATTACACTAGTGTGTGTTGCTGTTCGGAGAAGATATTGAAGTCTGAGGTACTTTTTAGCTTAAGTTACGGCAAAGTAAATTCCTGTATCAGATGTTTCTATAGTTTAAGTTAAAAAAAAAGTTTTAATTCTTTAAAGGTTAAAAAATTGCAATTTATCGTCTAAAGAGAAGAATTGTCAGACAGATATTTTTTTCACTTTATGTTCATGAAATAGATACGTAATTTTGGAGCCAGTAGGAACTACTTAAAACTATGGCTAACCATGAGGATAGGATTCACAATCTGCGATCCTAACAGACTCAGGGATTTTGGTAAACTCCATAGAAGGAGGTCTTTTAATAAGTAATGGACGAATTTCGGCTGGCGATGATAAAAGAGAAGAACACAAAAGAGCCAAGACGATATTTACATAGAAATGTTAATTTTCAACAATGACAATCATTTCATTGGTGGATATTAATAGTAACTTCTAAAAATATACAAGTTACTTTAATTCTTATCTCAACTAATTAACATAGACTTGCCATTTTAATTCTATATTACGTTGATAAACAGCTAAACCACGCTGGTTATTTCCCGGGCGAATTGACGCATTTCCGTTAATTTTTATTATCAGTATACGGTTACAGAATCAGCAATGGGCGAAGGGTAATTACTTACTGCGGTCAAATTTAAATTTGCTCTAATAACAAAAACTAGAAATTCTTAACTTGATTCCCTCTAGTCCTTTCCATCATCGTATCACAAGACAATCGGCGAAGCGTCACCGATTCATGGTAGATGTCCCATCCACGCCCAAAGCGCTTCGCATCAAGTTTTCTTGTGCGTACTGCTAAGGAGTGGAATCTTTTCCCAGAGTTTGTGTTTCCTGAAGAGTATAACTTTTTTTTTTAAGGGGGAACATCATCGAATGACTGCTCCCGCCTGGGTGAGGCGGAAGGGAGTGTCAGACTCTTACTGACTAAAAACCACCCCGTTCCTTCTCCTGCACGTCGAGCCGGAGCCCCGGTTACCCGTTAGGTTCTCCGCAACGAAGAGTATAACTTAGGTGTCTATAAGGTCCAAGTGAATAGGTTGCTTAATAATCGACGTGTTCCATTGAAGACCGCATCACCGCTTACCATCAGGCAAGATAGTGGTCAAACGTCGGCCCATTAAATATAAAAAAAATATATATTTGGCACTAATGGTAGGACATTTCAAGACGTTTTTCTTACTGGTGTCAGCGTAGTTAATATAGATATCTCCTGTAACCTTCCAATACTTCGGTCCTAGACCTGGACATTTTGTTCCCGTGGAAGGGAAAAATAGTATAAATGACTAGAAAGTAGACTCGAGTACTGATAATATTATTTTTACGTGCAGTGTCTTGTCTATGGTACCTAATACAGTACTTATTACTTTAATCTGCCTGCGACACTCAAGTCTCATAATCGCACAACTCACATTGATTTCATCAAATAAAATTTGTAACCCAATAAGATTCTCGATTTTAACTGTCTATAATATTGATCTGTCTAGGAAAATAAAACTAGTTAATTCTAGTTATATGTACTTCGCCACGTGTCTTGATCTTTGGTGAGTAACCGCGGTTGGAACTGTGGACCGATTCCCGCCAATACATCCCGTAGAATCCCTTCAATACATCCAACACTACGTTTTCCTGTAGGTATAACGCATATTGGATTTTTGTCGGACAAGGTAAACAATTATTATATTTATTACTCATTTTCCTGTTAATTTACACCATCATAATTAGCTGATACAATTCATGTTTTATATTAACAGGAACTTGCCTATTTATAGGAAAATAATTATGTATGTTAATATGAAACCACAACATATTTACTTAAGTCATTAATAACATGAAATAACGTTGTATTTTAAAAGAGAACTATGTTTGCTACTAACAAAGAAAAATATTCTGTACATATTAATTCAAATAGTACATTTTTTTTCACTAGGCAGTTACGCAAGCATCAGAATTGATTAGTAATCCGCCTACTTGTAATAAAACACTAAAAACAAAAGCATAACTGTCGACGCCGATGACTTGGACACTAATATTAAGTGGATACTCAAACTTAATATACATTACGAACGGATTAAATGGATCCCATTCATCAACGTCACTACAAAAATGCTATTTCCACATAAAATTAGGTACTCACCTACACTTTGAGGATTCGCGAACAATCGTATCCCCAGACTAATAACTACCAAATGAAGGGTTGTAAGCTCTCCGAATTTTAATGAAATATTTGATTTATGCCCACCTAAAGCATCAGGTAGCTTATTATAAGAATATATCATTAAACATTACATATATAATTAAACCGAAACTTAGCCTCCAGCAACCCCAATTTGGAGCCGGCCGCTGCATTATAATTTTAATAAAATTGCCCGTTGTCCAATAAAAAAGTAAAAAATAAAGTAATAATAAGAAAATTATAACACATCTGATTGATGTATTATTTGGTAATTTATTGGGTGTAATTACATCGTGTAATAATGGTCGATAATGCTGCGAGTCGGCCGAGTGAGGGAACGATTTATTAGTATTTATTAAAGTATGAATTATTGTATAATTACTGGGATGGGTGCTTCCAAACTAAACAGAGCGGTTGTTTTAGGGTTGAATTTATGGGCAGTTCTCGGAGTCGATCTAATCGAGCTTGTTTGCGATGTAATTCGGGCGCCTCGGCAGTTGCTATAAAACTATGTCGATGAGTGTGTTGTGAGCGGTTGAGCCGAAGCAAAACCGAAGTAATGATAACTCAATTTTGATGTGAATGTGTTATTGTATTGCTCTAGTTTCGGTTAACGATATTTATTGCGGGCAATAGCGGTTTTTGTATAACTTACGACGTATTTGTGAGTAAGTCTGGAGTTATCAATAAAATCTAGCGTTACGATACAAATGGCTCGACTTCTATAAATGTTATGGGTTTCCTGTTCCTGATAAGTAAACATTTACAGTGTTATTACTTCATAGTAAATCTAAATACCAAAGAGATAAGTGATCTGAGTCTATGAAAATCATAAAATTGAATGTCTATCATTGTATTCCTTAAACATTTAAACTATCTACATCTAAAACGATATCTTTTTTAAGAATTCAATAAAAAGCTGTGTGGTCCCCAGTAATCCTAATTGATTTTGACAAACAGCTCACATCGTTAAATCGATAAAATTTAATCGATTCCATATGTCAAACGGGGCCATCACTCAGTGCGTAAACTAATTCAGTTGATCCCCGCGATCGCCTTATGTATCGATATTACTTTAAAAGAATTAACTTTTCATAAACAAACATTTGTAGTGAAACGTTAATAGTTTTTACTGGCCCTTAATGCCACAGCCGCACATCGTTCCGGAGATCGAACTTAAGATAAAATAGTTTACAGATGCGTACAAAAGCTGTTATTACGCGCTTCACATAATTTATGCATTGACAATTTTAATTACTTCAACCGTATGCAAGTTGGTTTTTATAATGAAGCCGAATGAATTTAAAACTTTCACCTTAATTATTATGTTTAAAATAAGTTTTCGTTTTGTTCCGACTTTGTGAAATGTTATTTAGTGGCCAGTGTCTGCGTTCTCTTATTACACGTTCGAATTTTAAGATTTAAATTTAAATTAAACAAAAATTTGCATTAAGAATATTGGCCAGTAGTATATTTATTATCTGTGTTTACTAAATACTACGTACTTACTCACCAGTAATACAAGTGCCGGCGGATCAATCCTTCTACTTGCTACAAACTTCTAAATCTATGCTACTTCAACAAGAGTTTCATTCTTAATGGCTTCCACAAAGTCCACTTAGTGTTGATGAAGTCTATCGTGATCTACAAATAAACTGCGCCTAACTACAAGCTACGTACCGGAGCCACTGGCAAATAGGAAGTCCCTTTGTAGGGAAGACGTCTTCAAGTAGGGGTAAAACAGCTTGCCGCCGTCCTGGGGACTGCCGCCGCAACTGTACAATAAGAAACTCTATAGAAATATCATGTTAAAAGATACTAAAGAAAATAACGGAAAAGTCAAGTCGATGTAATAAAGTTCGGTATTATCCCGTCAGCCCGCATCTTCCCGCGTAGATTCGTTTAGAAAGGACTCCTCAGACGGGAGTGCTCCCCGGTACCGTGGGAGGGGGAGGTGCAAGGAACGCGCGGGGCTGCGCGATTTTTCACCCAAGACCACGTGTTAGCCACGTGCATGAAAACTTTTTGGAGAAGTTTTTCCTCACGAGCATGCGTTACGCGGTCCTTTTTGTTTGAAGCTCAACTTCGCACGGAGCATCCCACTTCGCCGTTTTATTTCTTGGCGCGTTCTCTTTGTGGATAGCATTTAACATGTTTTATTGTATCTATTATTTCTGTAGTTACGATACATTTTATTCACGTATCATTTGAAGAATTAAACGCGCGTAATTTTGAATTTGTTCGAAACAGTTTTGTCGGTTTAAACAAAACCGTTTTAAAATTCGAATTGTGGCCGTTAAAGTACGTATTCGGAAAGATTAGAACTTATGGATATTAAAAATTAAAATACGTCGATTAGTTCCAAATTTCAGAATGATCATTAATATTGATTGATACGAGCCGTGTCTAACACTCATAAAATTTATTGATTATCGACATCAGATTTCACCCACAGACAAGGGAATTAATAATAACGTAATAGTAATAAAAACGCCGCTTTCTCAACACAATGCATCACTAGACTAAACCATTTTGCAATCAACATATCAACTAAACCGTGTCTAGAAAATTCTTAATTGAACTAATGAGAAGTAATTACAATTTTTATTGCGGCCATAATGATTACGATGCCTTAAAATAATAAAAGCAATTAGACATTGATGGGCGTAGCGGAGTAGTTTATGGTTGTCTCTGTCGCTCTCGGTGTGCCGGCCTAGCTGAGCGCCGAGGGACGCCGCGATCAGATGTAATTGTTTGAACGGTTATAAAAGTTGATGTCACAGACGGTGTTCTGTTTGTCGTAAAACGGCGAGATGTTTCCATTTCCAATGTTTTAATGTTGAAAAAAATATATTAATGTACACTTATACCTATAACGTTGTTATTTCTTGTCGCTGACACAATTGGACAATCTTAATATTAATCAAAGCCACAGAATTTTAATGACTGGTACGACTATGTACAATTAAAATGACTGATTCATAGTTGTAAAGTTGGGATACAAATGAGTCACGTGAGATACTCTAATTAGGTACAATGGACTAAGAATTCAAAGGAATAAAATGATGCGATCACGTCTAAATACAACTTACGAATAGATTAGGCCGTCACATAGTGGACAGTGTTATGAATGTGGCTACTGACATAAATGTCAATGGATGGTGATTGGATGATTATTAAAATTCATTACAATCCTCATTTAGGGGAAAAACAACTATAAGAAATACTTTATAAGTGTAAATAAAAGTAAGATTTGTACTTTACGAAAAGTAAACGATCTTTTGAGGTAAAAATGATGTGAGATTTTTAAATTCAACTATTTTACGTTTGCTTAATCTTATTTGCTTGGTAATAAGGTATGTTTTCTGACTTTTGACTAGTATCAATATCGTAGAAGATATGTAACCAGCTTAGCTCTAAGTTAAATAGATCAATTAACTAAAATCGCGGGTTACTCACGTGAATATACCTACTGAGAAAAGCTCTACTAGTTTCGAACCACAGAGGGGTTCTTCATGAGCAGCATGAGTATATTCACGTGAGTAACCCGCGATTTTGGTTAATTTAGTATGTCTCACGATAGTTAGTATAAAAACATAAAATAGATCAGTTAGTAGTATCTATCATTATTGTAAATGAAGATAGTAAAACTACTATTTCACACCTATTTCTTTTATATCACGACGGTGGCAAAAAAAAGCTCATGGTCTAAATGAATTACTTACAATCGTAAATAATTCATTTATTAATTTTGAATAATAATAATTAGGGAAATAATTGAAATATTAAATAGAAAGTATCATTTGGACGTATAAGTTTTACGACGTATTCTTTTTTCAATATCTTCTAACATTTAATTCAACTTTGATTTAAATGTTAGAAGATATTGAAAAAAGAAAGCTAAACAATAAAAAACTTATTACATGCGCGTGCGCATTGCTCATCGTTAGCAAAAGTCAAATTAAAAATAGTATATAATTTAATTCAGATAATCCAGTTGGAGCTTGAATTATATTAGTCTGTCAGTCTGTCAGTGAACCTAGGTTAGGGAGAAAGGCTTTTCTCACTTCTAGTTTTATATCAAGAAACTCCATTGTTACTCAGATTATAAAGTTATCAATTAATCTTTTTATACTTAATCATATTTTTACTTTTATATATATTTCTTTAGTCTATCATACATATTATATAATATGTGTTTTATCTAGTTTTTGTGACTTATTGTAAACGTTAGTGGTTATAAATTATGATTTTAATTAACTTTATTACGTCACTCCAGTCATATTTTTTTATGATTTTTTTTTAATTTTTTTTCTTTGCGTGTCTTTACCTTAAGTTGTTTTTTTCTTGTATGAGTTTTTTTTTGTTAGGAGAAACATAATTAAGTATGTATTTTTATTAGATTTATTTGAAATTAGTAATGATTATCAAATATAATACAAATGTGGGTTTTGTAAGAAAATTTAAGGTAGAGTAAGAAAGAGATCAAGATATTTTTGGTAGATACTTTAATAAATAAAGTTTAGGAGATAGACCTAAAAAATCTTTGATACATTTATTTTTTTCAATTAAATACTTTTTTCGTTTATGTTATCTTGTAGTTGGTTATATCCTTTTATGATAATAGATATTAAAGATAAGTGTACTAGTACCTACCCATAATTATTTTTTAATTTGAATAAAATTTAATTTAACACGTTTATAATGTGATAAGCGATGATTATCAAGATGCATGTTTAAAATATTCCAGTTAGGTGTTACAATTTGAATTAAATAGTAATTTTATGAATTAATAATTGGGTGATAACAAAGTGATTTAATGAATAACGACCCACTTAATATCATAATAATGAGAAAAATTAATGACGTAGCAATAAATTTATGCTCTAATGATAATGCGCCCGTTCTATCATCTCAATCAAATTACATTTCAAATTAGGTGTTGAGAAGATTAAATTTCCATAACATTAAAAAACAATGTTTTCATTAAAAAAACTTTTTTGACGAATATAAATAAAAAACTGAACAAAGTACAGATAGATACGCACGATGATGCACTTTAAACGGAAAATCAATACAGCCTACAAAAAAAGTTGGCCAAAGAAAAGAAAAAAGGTAAAAAAAATACCTACAGAAAAACGCGACACATGTATTTGAACCAATCAGCAGTTTGTTGGCTTCGTTCGCCCCGCCCCGCGTAACTTTTCCTCTTTACCACGTCAAAAATACAACCATTCCATCATTTTCACGATACGTACGCGATAAACTTTTTTATCAACTTAATATTCATACTTTCATCTCACTCTTCAACACACATTCTCAGACTTGACGAACGATGTAAACACTACTTAACTACTTATAGGTACGGTAAGAAAATTATATTAAAGTTAACGAAAATAAAATAATTCTAGTTTCGACAAATTCAAATAAAAATGTCGGTTGATAACTTTACTGCTCGTAACTGATACAAACTTAAGAAATCGTTACAAAGAAAAACAAAAGTGCACAGAACTTAGAAAAAACTTAGTTTCAAAAACAAAAAAAAAACTAGAATAAAAAAATGTAACAACAGCAAAGTGAACACTTACAATATCCGAGAAGCTAAATTGTAGTAGTTAGAGCTTTAGATTTGTTTTCGTAGCAGTGACGTTGTTAATTAGCCGGCGCTCGCTGATTCATCACTTTATAGCGTCTCAGCGGCTAGTTCAAGCCAATAGTTAATTATTACACTGCAAACACGGTAACAGTTTCCTTCAAATAAATTCCTAATTACTCGTACAACAACACTCAGTCCGATATCCAAACGCACTCGAAAGTTTCAAATCAAAATGACAGAAGACGCGCGAAACGTTTTTTTTTTCAACTGTCAAACGTGACACGAACAAACGCAGATACGGCCGTCCACGTCAGTACGCTGACGTTCACTAGTCGCGACTCGGCGTAAGTCGAGGAGAAGAAGGCAGCGGTCTCGGCCAACACGCCTTTCGTTCGTCTCTCTCTCGCGCGGCTATACCCGCCCGACCATTTTTACGGTTTAACCGACTCAATTCAATTCAACTCAACTCAATTGTCGTGGCGCGAATGCCTTCGCACTGGACGCTAGAGTGAGACGTATAGCTTTCGCCTTATTTCAGTGGCTGAGTTTCATTAAATAAAAATTATTTGTTTTAGTTAATGTAGTTCGGAGTAGTGCAACAGGAATCAAATGTAGGGGTTGAAATATTGACGTTACATGCGTTTGAACTAAGAATCTGCGTTCGGAAAAGCGGAATAGAGCCTTAATCTTAGTTTAAGACGCAGCAGTGGGCACGGATGTGTCCGTTTCGCTCGCGCCACTATCGTCCGGCGGGCTCGGGCCGTGCGCGCGAGCGAGAAATCCGAGCGTCGATAGGCGTTACCGTTTCCATCGGTTCTCTCTTCTGGGTGTGTAAAGTTTTAGGCCGAAACATGTAAAAATGCATCTTGAAAAAAAGTTATGTATTAAAAAAAGAAGCTTAGTGCGAGGTGGGGGGACATTAATGCTGGCGGGAGGTGGCGAGGATGGCTTTTTTCGCATGCTGTATTTTCGGGGGTGTTCGCGTAACTGGACAATGCATTATCGAGCAGTGCCGGCGAATCGGACGCATCACCTTAGTGGCCCATTTGAACTCGAAAACAACTGGATTTGAATGGGATATAGCCAGGCCGGTGATATAATGGCTTTACCGCATTTCGAATAGATTCCTAAAACGTATCTGGATAAATAATACGTACTCTTTAGGAGAAAAAAAGTAACAAAAAGTATTAAACGCAATTAAAAATTTCACGGATTTCTATTTTAAGTACTTCAAATGAGTTACAATCAATCTACACGCCATAAAATGATTTGATCGTATCATAGAATTGATTTCTTGATCTTGAAGTAAAGGATGATTAATACGATTAGAAAAATAACAGGTGCATTGCACTTATAAAGTTGAACAATGACGATCAGTACTAATACTGAGATGTTCAAATATGTAATTTATATTCTTTGTGTCGTCTCTAATATTAAAAAAGAAATCTTATATCTATCTTCCACTGACGAATTTGCATGATCATGCAACGTATTAGAGAAGTTTTTGAAATTGGAATCTCTAAATATTTCAAATTCAAGACATTTCTATTAAATAAAAAAAAAATTCTAAGAATCATTTTTCGAAATCCAATCATCACGCGACAGTAACAATATAATTACGATTTCTTACAAACACGAAACTATATTTTGAAATCTAAACAAGTGTATAAGATCATATTCGATTGATGTCAGTTTCGTCTAAATACTTCAAAGATTTTCTCTCGTTATTTATCAAAATTTTAAAGCTAGCAGGCTCTAATATTTCAAGACTTAATTATTGTTAATCGTACTTAAACGACATGCCAGTCTTTATAGATTTTTGTCATGATAGAAATATTTAAATGCTGGATTCTAAAGTGCTTCTGCTATACTCGAGGTTGTCTCAACTTAGTGATTCTATTGGAAATAAATACTTCTAAGTTACTTTAAGCTACAAAGACATAAATATTTAGGTGATGGTAGTGTAGCTCAAGTTGATACAGCAATAGTTATAATAAAGACGATTCGTAGCGCGTTCTTCGATTTCAATTAAGCAGACTCTTTTAGATATCAATCAACTTTAAATTATTTATCTAAAATACTATTTAATGTATGGGTCATACTAAATTTTGTAGCGGAAAAGACGGGTTAAAGAAAAAACCTTTAATTTTTGAAAGGAATAGATTTAGTTTAGGTTCGGTTCGAACTAAAACATGAACTGTACAGAGACTGTGTGAAAAGAAGAAAAAAGTAATCAAGAAATATTATTATGTTCTTAAATTCTTGGAAGAACAACAGAATCTTCTAGCTTTTTTTAACTATATAGTCTGTCTTATTGAAAGTGTATACGATCTATTAAAACCTCCTTTTCAAATGTGTTTCAATTTTGTATTAGTTTATAAATATCTTCGAACATACGACCTTCTTTTGTTTTTGAATGTTCTCGATTTGGGACCGAGGTGGAATACTAAAATTACTTTATTGTATTCGTGTAGCCCAAATCTAAAGAGTTTCGGGCTCGGCTAACGTATTTTTATTCTGAGTAATGTTACAAAAGTGATTATTAAGCAGAGCACTAAATAAATGAATAAAAAGCCTTATATTTCTTGCATAAAACACAATTGACAATGGCAGGTGTTTATACCGAATAAATAAAAAGAAAAGCAGGGCACTATAGTACAGTAAACTTAGCAAAAGATAAAGTTGTCATTTTACTTAACCAAAAACATAAAATATTAAAAACTCGTCCGTTTGACAATCTTTTAACGAAAACTTTGCTCCCCTTTTAAAGCATACACGTTTTCATAAAGAAGTTCAAGCAAACATATCCATGGCTCTTCAATAACTTACAGGACACAAAACTAAAGAAAAGTTATTCACAGTTTCCCTTAAAATATATTCCAAGTAAATGTCAAGACATAATACTCCATACGTGAGTTTGCCGTTACGGGCCTAGCCGCGGGCGATGGCTAGTTAGTTAATCAATAATCTGCTTGACCTCTCATATCAAAGAGGTTTTAACTGTAAAAGCTCTAAGTAATTGTATTAGGCGATGTTTGCCAATATATCAACTAGATAAGTAAGGATGTGGGTAGACTAGATGGTGGGGAGACGAATGAGGTTAGTTTAAAACTACGCATTTTAGATATATTGTTGACGATTATTAGTTGTGATGGATGCATGCTTTTGGGTTATCTCAAATCAATTGAATACAATAAGCAACAGTATTACAAATCGTATTTTATTAGTTAACTTAACTGAATTAATTGAAAGAGTTGATCGACGTGTACCTACTTATAGTTTATTGTCTTTTTATCAACTATGTCCATACTCCATGGTCCCATGATAACAATGATGGCATTAAATGGCATACAGTTCAAAGTCAATAACTTTGGATTGTTCTCTTGCTTGTTATCTGTTAGTAGTTACTGTTCAAATCGAAGAAGATCGAATAAGGGACCTTCGTCTAATTTAGATCCTGTAAGTGAGGATCTTAATAGAGCGGAATTATATTAACAATTGTTTTAAAAATATGATTGTCCACTTCACAACATTACGTGTAATTGGTTCCTTACTCAAATATAAAGGGTTTTCACTTTTCAACATAGTAAAAAATATCAAAAAAACAATCACAATATCAAGAATCAATCAAACAATCACAAGTGTGCTATCGCTCGGGTGCAATAGGCATGTATTATAAATATAAACTTTCCTTAAAAATCACTCTATCTATTAAAAAACCGCATCAAAATCCGTTGCGTAGTTTTAAAGATCTAAGCATACATCGGTACAGACGGACGGCGGATAACGACTTTGTTATATACTATGTGGTGATATTTATATTTGAAGTATAATTCTGTACATATTTTGTATTTATTATATATTTTTATACAGTATTTATAATTACTATTGATTATCTATTTTGATTGCATATTACACAAATCTATTTTCGCTGATTCTCTATTTAACCCGAAGGTTGACTGGGAAAAATTGTCATATTGTATTATGTCCGCCTTATGTACCTTTTGTTTGTGTGCATTTAAAGAGATAATAAATAAACAAATTAATAAACACAAGTTAATATTACAATATTATCCTGCAGTAATTCACCAAGGGAAGTGGAAACTATCGTTTTTTTTTCTTCTCCTCTTATAATAATCTTCTGATTCACTTCGTTGCGGGAACCAAAACAGTTATTCAAGTCTCTGGGACGCGCCGGACTTCAGTGTTCTGTTGTTTTCATGGTTGTATCTACTGTAGATCCTGGCTTACAGGAGTTGCAGCGGTTTCATGAGGTTGTGGCGGGCTAGTCCCATTAAAAAAAAATGTACTACATATTTCATTTTTTAACACGTTAACCGCCCCGTAGGTCACCGATGACGTACATTAGCGGAGCATTTGCCTTCACCAGTCTTCTGTTCACAGTCAAAGGCTTAAGAATGCTATTTGACGAAAAAAAAACATCACATCACAACACAACTTTCGACAATAGCGATGATGATAGGGTATGAAAATTAATAATCTAATTAGTCCGTCAGTTAGGTAATGAAAAAATATTAGACACGTATTTTTTTATTTTTGTTCTATAATAAAATGATACTTATATGTAACGCATCAAAATTTAGGAGTGGGGGCTAAAACGTCATTTCTACGTCTAAAATGTACACATAAGTGACGTCACGCGACATTTCAAATCAATATATCGTCGAAAGTATTCATTTCTGTAAGAAAATAAAAAATACGTGTGTAATGTTTTAAAATGATCTACCAGACGGAGATTAAAATAAAAATTAGTCATCTACCCTATTGTCCATTACTAATTCCTTCAAAAAAATATATTAATGCACTCGTGTGTCCACACCCTAATACTGGTTAGTGCATTCTACACACATTATGGAGGTAACGGAATCACCATCGACCATCGACCAGCGAACATCGTCTGCGCTTCCTAATCATATCAACTTGATAGTTGGCTCCTCAACCACACTATTATATGTAGAGAGATCATATCTCGAAAGGTCCTGATGTATATTTATGTTTGTATTAAATTTTCGTAATTTTCTTAAAGAGTTCTTAAGCGATGAGTAATTTTTTTTTTTTGATGCCTTGTGGTATTGTTTTTATTTTTTTTAAGGTGTAAGTATTTTAGTTTTTAGTTATTTGTATTTATTATATTAATATTAGATTGAGTTAATTTTAGGTTGTTTATATTTTTACTAACACTAATAAATTGGTTTCTAAGTATTTTGATATATTTTTTTTACAACAGCATCGTCTTTACTTGAGTATCAGAAAAATGGTTTTTCCTTATTTTATTGTGTGTTTGATCGTGTTTCAATAGTGACCAATTCAGACAGTCT